AAAAAAAAAAAAAGACTACAGGATATTGCAAAGCAGTACCTTCTCAAAGGAAGGTTGAGAACAACTTCTGTAAGGGTTCTTTGCTAACAGTAGCCTTAATAAGACCATATTATTGCCTAGTATTTTAAGCTTATATCTGATGAGCAAGAGTGCTCAGCTTTCCAATGTTTGTTCAATTCCTTAGAGATGATTATACCTTAATATCTTTTTGAAATAAATGTAGAGTATAATTTAAAGAGTGAAAGAATAACAACAGCTTATCCTTTTAAAGAGAATATCTTTCAAATTCAGGAATAGGAATTTTGGTGGAATGAGAGTGAAATGATATGGAATGTGGGAAGGGATTTATATGACTTTGATACTAATTGCATGGTTAAGACTGGTGATAGGCACCTGGTTGTTTTAAGTTCTTATCTTCATTTTCTGCCTAAATGGTTTAACTAAAACTGTTATTGAAAAGAGGATTAAAATATAAGAAGAATTGGAGTCCCTGAGTGGCTCAGTTGGTTAAGCGTCAACTCTTAATTTTGCTCAGGTCATGATCTCTTGGCTCATGAGTTCAAGGCTCCTTTGGGCTCTGCAATGAAAGCATGGGGCTGGCTTCTCTCTCTCCTACTCTCTCTGCCTCTCCCTACTGGCTCTCTCTCTTCCTCTCTCTCTCTCAAGATAAATAAATAAATAAATAAATAAATAAATAAATAAATAAATAAATAATCTGAAAAAAATGTAAGAGTAGGGGTGCCTGGATGATTCTGTTGGTTAAAAAAATAAGAAAAATCAACATTTACTATCTCTCAATATCCTTAAAGTCACAATTCTGTCTTTTGGTTTGTCCTTATGCACCTAAAAACAGAGCACACGTTGGCCTTTTGCATGTGTTCTGACCCACAGAGAACTGGTGGATGTCATTGGAGATTGTTCTTTGTATCCTGGTTTCTGAAGTATGGGGGAGGAAGGACAGCATTTCCTTTGGCTGCCCTAGCTAGGACTTCTCCCAGATAGTCTCCCCAAAGAGGGTAATGTTCTGATAACATGAACCACTGTGGCTGCCATCCCCTCAAATAATGGCAGAACTCTCTTATTTCCAAAGGCAAGGGAACCCTGGTCTTACACTGAGAATATAGCTTGCATTTCCATGTCCCTGAGTCTAGTTTTCCTGAGGCAAGATCAATATTTGATTAGAGCCTGCCTTAGCAAATGCAGAAGAACACTCATTCCTCATTCTGGTCCGAGGCCAAATACACAGCAGGCACCCACACTGCTTAGTAAGTGAGAAAACAATCAGCCAGAGTATGATTTTTGCGTGTAGGGGAATACGTGTAGGATGTGTGATGCTGGCACACGGGACTCGTCCAACATCAACGTTGTGGTGAGTAAAGGAGTCGGGGGACATTTGAGAGCTGCCCTTTGGGTGCCAATGAAGCCAGTGGTAGAAGAAGTGATGGAAGTTTCCAGGAATGAAGAGGCAATGGAGGCAGAACTGAGGGTAAACTGTACACGCACGTACTCATTCAAGCCAGACATCCTAATCTTTCTAAAAGTATCAGCTTATTTAATTAGTGTACTGAATGGGTGGTGGTTCCCCATCACATTAACGTGGGGGTAAATATTGCAGTAGTTTACAACCAAGGAATTGTGGCAGTTTGTTTGTGCAAACAATGATCAAGGTGAAGGGAGGTTGATGGGCCTGGACTTTGGCAGGTCTGACGACAGAGATCGCTACGAGTTGTGCTCAGGATTGGACTTTGCTCTTGAAGGGCTTTTGCGAGAAAGTGAGCACGCAGGGAGTACAGAGAATAACCAGAAAGGAAAAGACAGAAGAAGCAGCATCTCTTAGGAAGGTTTCAATTGTCCAGAAATGACAGCCGAGTCTCTGTTGGAGAGTTGGGATGGAGAAAGCTGGAAGCTTTCCCCCAAGTTGGAAGCTTGGGGGACAAAATCTATAGGACAACTGTTAGGATCTGGTCAGTGATAATCAGGAGGTGGGCACGGTGACCTCATTTTTCATGGTGGGTGGATGGAGTGGTCCATGACCAGGATGATATTGGGAAATCACAGGTGTCATCTGGACACATTTGAGATGCTTAGGTGGGGGGTTGGGTGGGCAGCTGGAGGGGTCGGATCTGAGGAGGGAAGGGAGGGCATCCTGAGGAGAAGAAGAGGTAGGAAGAGAATGCTCTAGGGAATGTTCTAGGCAGGTGACAGATTTTAGGGGAGCCTGAGAAGTTTGGATGGTGAAGAGTCCACTAGCCTGAATAAAATCACTCAGAGGAAGGCAGAAGGAAGAGAAAGGGTCCAGGAAGGAATTCCCAGGGAAGTGCACCTGTGAGGGGTACAGAGGCAGGAAAGGCCTTTGTGAGGAGAATTTGAAATGAAGATGTGAAGGAGAAGAAAGAGCCAGTTGTGAAAGGCCAGCAGGACAGAAGGCACTGCTCGCTGCTGGACACACGTGTACAGAGTCCTGAGGAGAAGGGCACCTGTGTGGTGGGGACACCGCAGTGAAGCGGGTGTGGCTGAGAAGCGAGAGGGAGCAGGGCCCTTAGATAAGGTCAGAGAGGCAGGAGCCAGATCATTCCAGAAATGGCACTGCTTGGGCCCCTGATCACACCTACCTTGGGGTTTCATTAGAGGGAGCAGTTCTGTGCACACGTTTCGAGTACCAAAGAAGTTTGTTTTCATTGTCAATTCTGCTTTAATATGTAAGGGTGTGTGATCATCAACTGGTAAGGAAGAAGGAGAATAGGTCAGTAAGCAGTTGCCTCCTGAGAATATTCCATGAAGTGACGATAGCATTTTTTTTTTTCCATTTGCAAACGTGAATTCTCAGCCATTTCTGTGTTAGGTAACACTATTGTCCCGGTGTGAATTATCTGGCTGGCTGGTGCCGTGTAGCTTTGTAACTTGGCACCACTTGGGGATGCTAAGGGAAGGGTGCACAATGGGTTTTCTGTGTACCTTTGTTTACAATATGTTGTTTATTGCAAAATAGGTTAATATTTACCAAATGACTCAGACCCAATCAGAAAGAAACTTGGAAAAACCTGGGTGAGGTCCCTGAGAATCTGATCCATGCCAGTGTGAAGGTCCTCTGGCTGGAAATGCTTGCAACTGCTGGAGGGTCCTGCTCTCCCTGTGTCTCCAGTCCATCTTCTTCCCTAGGGAGGCTGTTCTAGATCCCCTCAGAGCTCTGGACCCCAGAGCAGCAGTTTAGACACCAGCCCCAAACCCACCCTGGCTGGTCCCCTAAGGGAGGTCTCCTGGCCTAAGAGTTCCCACGTTCTTACTATCAAAGGCGACGCCCGCGTTGTTGACCAGCACGTCCAGGCCCCCGTACTCCTTGCGCAGGAAATCACGCAGGGCGCGGATGCTCTGCAGGTCGTCGATGTCCAGCAGGTGGAAGCGCGGACTCAGGCCCTCGCCCTGGAGCTGCTGCACGGCCTCCCGTCCCCGCGCCTCATCCCGTGCCGTAAGCACCACATCCCCGAAGAACTGCCGGCACAGGTTGCGCACGATGGCGAAGCCGATGCCCTTGTTGGCCCCGGTCACCAGCGCTACGCGGATGTGTGACATGACTGTGTGGATTGCTAGGGAGGCCCCGTGTGTGGAGCCGATGGTGCTGTGGGCCACACCGAGGGCTAGTGGTGCGGAGGCCTGGCCACAGTCAGAGATGCCGGTGGAACTGTATTCTTGGATCCAGCGCTGTGACTCCTAGAGCCGAAGCCCCACCCCTGTCCTTCCATGAAAGGAGGGGCCAGAGCGCCAGAAGTTTTCCTGATGGCGCTGTGTCAAATCCGTACTTCATGGGGCTGCACCTTGAGCCCAACCAGGACTGTGTCCTCTTAGGATGCTACCTCTGAGCCAAGCAATGGTTTGAGGTCAACTGATGTGCTCCCCAAACTAAGGTGGTTGGCCCTGGGGTTAATAGGGGGCTAGTGATTCATGGTAGGCGAGTTAAAATTATTTTCGGAAACCCTCAAAAGTAAAAAAGGTGTACAGATATTGTCTTGGGAATGTGTCCTTCTTCCTCTGCAGAATGGGAGAGGTTGCTTTCTTCCAAGATGCAGTGAAGTTGCTTGCACAGGGGAACTGCCTCTGAGGACACAGTCCCTTTACTTTTTTCGGAGAATCTCAATAGTGAGGAACAGAGAATTAGGTCCTGTGCTGTGATGGGGGTGTGGACAGGGCTCCTCCCTCTGTGTGATTTTCAGTGGGTCCTGGGTGGGAGGGAATGTTTATGAAGCTCACTGCGGCCAACAAATTGTTTGGAATGTTTGATTTAATGGTTACATTAGCCCCTTTTTCCTGAAATCCCTACTTTTTGGTTCTGTTTAAGGTTACAGTTAATGTGTTATATATAAATAGGTGTTATTTTCAAAGTATCAAGGGGCTCTGTGGTGGGAAGCCATTGGCCCCAGTCAAGGTGAGTTTCTTTATCGGCTGTCCCTCTAGCCTTACTGGGCAAGAAATCACTTGAGGAACAGGATCCTCAGCATAAAATATTTGAGGACCCTGAGTAGTGAGAAGAACCATTAGGCTGGAAGCTGCATGAACTTGGTCTACATCAGGCTGTGCATGGGACCTTGAGATCTGTTTTTCCTTCATGTTCTTGATGGGGACAATATACAAAATGCCTAGCACATCAAATGTAGTAATGTCCATACACCCCACCTTTCTAGAACTATAATATGTCAGAGTGTGGGTGTGTGAGGGAGGTGCCTTTACTGTGGTAATTCCCCCCTGCCAGCTGATTCCTCTAGTGATTTTCCAGACTATTGGACATTGAAAAGCAGTACCTCAAATCAAGGTTGATAACACCTTCTTTAAGGTTTACATAGTGTGTGTGCCTTAACAAGACTGTTTTGCTCCTAGAACTTTTATAACTACTGTATGATGAACAAGAGTGTTCAGATTTCACAGGTGTGCCTGATTCCTCAGAATGGTCATTCCATAATATATTTTGGAAATAAATGCATATTATAATTTAATGAGAAAAAAGAAGAATAGCAGCTAATGAGCATTAAAGAGAATATTTTCCAAAATCAGGAAGAGGAATTCTGGGGGAATGAGAGGGAAAAGACATGGAATGTGGGAAGGGGTTTCCATGGCCCTGACATTGATTGATGGGTTAAGATAGGGGGTGGGCTCCTGGTCGCTGTAGATTCTTATATCTTCTGTGGCTAGATTATTTCAGAAACACTGTTTTTACAGAAAGCATTAAAAAGTAAGGAGAAGTTGGGCACCTGGGTGGCTCAGTCGGTTAAATGTCCAAATCTTGATTTCTGTTCAGGTCACGATCTCATGATTCATCAGTTTCAGCTCCACATTAGATCTGGGCTGACATTGCAAAACTTGCTTGGGATTCTATCTCCCTCTCTCTGCCCTTCCCTTGCTCTCTCTCTCTCTCTCTCTCTCTCTGTCAAAATAAATAAAAAAGTAAGAAGAAATTTCTTTTAAAAAGAAAGAAATTTACATTTTTTTACATTTTTTTAAAAAAAGGGTTTTTTTTTACATTTTTTTAAAAAAAGTAAGAAGAAGAAATCCACGTCTATTATCCTTTGGTATCCTATCCATAAGGTCATCCTACTCTGATATTCTCCTTCCAAGGTAAACAACAAGGTAAACATTGACTTTTTGGATGTGTTCTGCCCCCACAGAGATCTGGTGCAAAACATTCAAGATTGTTTTTTGTATCTAAGGTTCTGAAGTATGGGGGAGGACGGACAGTATTTCCTTTGACTGCCCTAGCTAGGACTTCTCCCAGATAGTCTCCCCGAAGAGGGTAATGTCCTGATAACATGAACCACTGTGGCTGCCATCCCCCCAAATAATGGAAGAACTCTGCTATTTCCAAAGGCAAGAAAACCCTGCTCTTATGCTGAGAATATAGCTTGCATTTCCATGTCCCTGAGTCTAGTTTTCCTGAGGCAAGATCAATATTTGATTAGAGCCTGCCTTAGCAAATGCAGAAGAACACTCATTCCTCATTCAGGTCCACGACCAAATACACAGCAGGCGATGACACTATTCAGTAAGTGAGAAAACAATCAGCCAGAAGTGATTTTTGCCTTCTAAGGGGGATATGTGTAGGATGTGTGGTGATGGCACAAAGAACTTGTCCCACATCAATGTTGTGGTGAGTAAAGGAGTCAGGGGAGATTTGAGAGCTGCCCTTTGTTTGAGGTGAACTCAGTGAACTCAGTACTGGTACAAATAGTAGAACTTTTTCAGACAGGACAGGGAAAGGGGGCAGAACTGAGAGTAAGATGTACCTGCATGTGCTCAATTCCAATCCACCAATCTTTATCTTTTGTGGAAAATCAGTAATGGGAAACCTCACTAAATGCAGTCAGGAAGCCGGCAGTGGGAGCAACTCATGCCCTACCACTCCCAGTCAACTGCAGTCCCAACAAGAAGAGAGAGAGACTTGATCAAGGGAGTTGCCCTTGCACATGAACACAACTGTACTACTCCAGACAGAGTAAAATATGCTTGTTTTAAGTCCCTGGAGCAACAGCCCAGCCAATGGAAAGCACTACACTTCTAAGTCCCAGTTTACTCCATTGGACTTTTAGTTTAAAACAGCCCTCCCAACTTACCCCTTTTCTCCTTAAAAATGTACCTGTCCTTTGTTCCCTGGACTTGCCTATAGTTTTGCCACAGCTTGGTTTTCCCAGATTGTAATTCTCTTTATTCCCGAAGAAACCCAACTTTGCTGGTGAAATAACTGGCAGGTTACATTTTTACAACTAACATTCCTTGGTGACACATGTGGGGATCCAGGGAAGATCCCCAAGGCCTCTTACTCTGGTGGGCAAGCAGGTGTGGTATCCATGGAGGTGTTTGGGTTCACTGCTTTCTCACCAACCATAGGGTTTGAGGGTAAGCTTTTCTCCTGGACTTCCAGCTCCATGCTTTTTGTCTGTGATTTCTTTCTTTCTTTTTTTAGATCTCTGAGAGTATTCATTTGGCCTTTGATTCCTTCTCAGAATCAAACTGTTCCTAACGGAACTCCTTTCTCGTTTGGTCTAATTCCTTTTGGGATTGGACTGCTCCTGTTGGAAAAGTACCAGTTTGAACTGCATTGGTCTTCGGTCCTATTCTGCTTTGGGATTGAACTGTTCCTGTTGGAATGGTACCATTTGGAGCTGCATAGGCCTTCTGTCTAAATTCTTTTCGGGATTGGACTGTTGCAGTTAGAACTGTGCCAGTTGTAAATGCACTAGCCTTGGGTCCAAGTTCTGTTTGGTACTGGACTATTCCTCTTGGAACCTGCTGGTCTCTGGTCTGAGTCATTCTGGAACTAGGTTGTTCCCGGAAAACTGCTAAAGAAAATGGGATCCCCTGCAAGAAAATGCTTCGTGACACCCCTCCCCTTTGGGACTATGGCTCATTTTATGTTTAAAATCTATGGTTGTTCTGTAGGCACATTCCTAACTAAATGGACCGCCTTAAACAAAAGCATTTCAAGACTTGTTAACCTTAAAAGTAAAACTGCCAGTTAATTTACCAGGAACAGATGCATACATTCAAGAGTGAAGAGAACTGCAAGTCAGGAAAATCAAGCTGCAGAAAACCTGGAGACAAGTCCAGGGAACAAAGGACAGGAATGCTTTTTTAAGAAGGAAGGGGGAAGTTGGGAAGGCTTTTATAAATTAAAAGTCCCTTGGCATAAACTGGGTGTCTGAAGTGCAGTGGCTTTTCAGTGGCTGAGTGTTGCCTGGGGGGAAAAGGAAAGTGTCTCTATTTCTGGCTGGTATAGTAGAGTAGTATCCATGGGCAAGGTCAAATCCTTCTAAGGTCAAGTTCGTCTCTTCTTGTTGAGTCTGCAGTTGAGCCTGCAATTGAGTAGGAGTGGTAGGGCATGAGACCTTTCCCTGCAGACACCTCCTGATTCCATTTTTAGTGAGGTTTTTTGTTACAAACTTTCAGAAACTTCAGTGGCCATAATGGGGGACTTTCAATATCTCCAAACTTGGTTTACTCAAAATTAAGTTAAAAAACTGTTTCTTCTTGAAAGAAGATAAAATCAAAACAAAAAAAGAATGAGATGTCTATTTTAAATGGTACCTTGGGGCACCTGGGTGGCTCAGTTGGTTAAGCGTCCAGCTTCGG